TCCAGTTTCACATTCACATTATTTCTACTCATGGGCAGAAATTCAAGTAAAATCAAATAGTTTGGTGGCAAGTTCTAAATAAAATATGGCCTAATGATTTAATAAATATTTAAAGTTTATTTCTCTCTTTGCAGATAATTCAGATTCTTCACTGAATATGAATGTTGCATATCATGGTTTTCAAGATTTCCTACATTAAGCCTAAAGATTGTAAAGTCCATCAGTAGAGGTCTAATCCGTCTACTTTTAGTGTATTTGAAATTCAGCTGTTAGCTATTTAAGACCTTGGCTATTTTAGTAATGGAAATTCAAGAACAGGGTATTATGCTGATTCTGGCACTCACCAGGAAAAAAAAAAACCTCGACAACTTTCAAGCTGTTACCACCTTAATCATACAGTGCCAGCAGTTTGAGAGAAAGCAAGTAACCATATTGCACTTAAAAGAACACTCACTCGTCAAATAGTACAGCATCGGCTATTATACAGAGAGCTTCTTTCAGACTATACAATTTGCTTTACAAGTAGTCTAAACCACAAGCTACGTACATACTAGGTAAGATCCAAATCAAATTAGTATTAGATTACAGTCACAGTTTTCATTCTGTATAGGTCAATTTATTTGGATGAGCTGTGGCCCCCTCCCCCCTTCAACAAACAAACCAGCATGAGGCATTGCCCAGATGAACATCTCCGATTTCCCACACTGACAAACCGAGTCCTCTTTGATAAGCATTACAATTGTGCATGGTCCTCTTAAGGCCACAGAGTGTTATGTTACAATGTGGACATGTTTTTCCCCCGCTGGGAGGGGAGCATCCTTCAGAAATTAAGGAATCCCTGAAACTATGCCTTCGAAGGTCACACCTAGTAGGTTTAAAATAAACTTAAGGAATAAATTGCCTATGCAATTTACAAAGAGTTTTTGTAACAGACAGCAACTATTTCCTCCCTTGTGTCTATTCTTTATCACAGCAAAGCTATTTCTAGCCAGGTTTTTTCAAAAGGAAAAGTTACACATATTTCATATGTTTGGTAATGATTTGCGTAGATGAGGTGCAAGTAGGGAGACCCATAAAAAAATCACCCATCATTAAATTTCTGTCATGTCAACTGCAGCTAGTACTGATACCATGTGCCGTGAGATTGCAAGTTCTTTGTACACTCAGAACATGAGTGAGAATTCCAAATACAAAGCCATTGTATTCTACTTCAATGTTGGATACTTCCTCTGTCCAATTCTTCCCAGCCTTGAACTTCCAGTGGCTGCAGGAGACTGAAAAAGGACAACAGGAATAAAAAAAATGTTCTGTAAGTGTCATACTGGAGACAAGATACAAAAGGTAGGCAATAAAGTTTTGAACGCAAACCTGTTAAACAGGTCTTAGACTGGTCCATGTGCACATCTAACACTGCATGCAGCAGTCCAGATTAAGCCAGTAAAACATAAGATCCAAATGCATCCAAGATTAAGACTCTGCTTGCCAGGTGATGTTGACTGTCAAAGCTAAATCACACTTCAGGGGCACCAGATTTTCACAGCAGTACGCATTTAAACAGTTTCCATCTTTGTGGCTCTAACAAGGCAAGAGAAACTCATCCTGCAGTAGCAAGAGCCTCGTTCCGTGTACAACATGCCTTGCTGTAACACAAGTGAGGTGGCCTCCCCTGTCATACAGCCTTTTAACCCCTCACCCTTGGTTTGAGAACAGATGAAAAAGACTGCAGCATAGCAGCTGCTCCTTCCATTACTTTATCTTGCAAAATCCCCAAATGCTACAAAGGCAAACCAGGTGACAGACTGGATTATCTCACTCTAAGGATGAGCTGGGGGTGCAGGCAGGGGGGGGAAGGAACACAAAGACTACGTTCAAAAGGCACCTGGGAGAAAAAAAGGTGGAATTTGTACCGCTATTTAAGGCCACACCAAGTCACCTATTACAGGCAGCTGTGGCCTGTGGTCACTTAAAACGAGAAGGTTCGGCGTGACTGCGATTTACTGGAGCAACATTTCATTACCTGGCTTAACGGTCAGGGCTAACAAGTCTATGGTTTTGTTCAAAGTAAAGATGAGGCCTTTACTCACTTGTGCAAATTGAGAAGGATTGTAGAACGGTACGGTTCCTACTGAAGGTCCCCCCGAAGGCGGTGCCGTGGCAGGCTAGAAAGTAGATAATACTGAAGTTACAGAACTGCAGACCTTCACTGCCACTCAAATGCGGTTTGCTTAGTCATACAGAGAAAATATTCACAGTAATAATGCCAACAATATGGACAGCGCAGCATATTGTAACAACTGCAAGAAGTGCTGGTACAGTTTGCATCCATATCTTTAATATTACTTGCTTAATGTAGGAATTGGCAAAACAACGTCACATGCATAAACTGTAAATAGCTCTGAAAATCCAAAGCATGCAAAACCAAAACAAGACACCAGTGCGACTTCACTGAATTAGTACCTTCTGCTTTTGTTAGTAGGCCTTAGGACTTGCCCCAAAATAAACATTCTACATCAATTTTTTGCTTTACTAAGAGATATCAGAACAAGTTTGTGCCACCCCTTTATGGTGACCCCACAGTACTGGAACTTAGAGCACAGATGAAGCATTCCTTTAATTCCTACAGGGGCTTTTGCAGATGAAACAGGCAATGGTACTACTACCAGTTTGCGACTGGCACCAGCAGAATGACAAGGTTTTGCTTCTGTGAGTCTTTTTAGGAATTTTGGGGGCGGGGGCGGGTTTTGTTTGTTTAAGATCAACTGACTTCTTTGGTAGCCCAGGAAAGAGCTGATCAAAATTATAGGTGAATCTCTTATGAACGTGAACATAAAACAAAAAGCATGCCTGGATTACATGCACTCTCATAAATACAAACAACTCTGAAGACCCTGTTTGAGTGTTAAAAGGAACACTACACCGTTAGTCACTTTCAATGTTATTTCTGTGAAATGAGAAGAGGGGAGAATGACTACAAGTAGCATTAGTAAATATTTGAGCAAATGCAAAATAAAGAGGGGAAAAGTAAGTAAGTTAACATAAATGAGAATGGCCAGCCACATGTACCTGATTAAAATGCTGGCTTACTTCACGTGATAATGAACTCATTGAACTAGAGCGCGAAAGCTACAAAACAGCAAGAACACACAAATACAAAAAAACACAAATAAAAAAGTCGTCATGCATGTCACTGCCCCAAGCTTTCAGTTGTTTTATTTAATTTTAAAAGTCTCACTGCCAAAGGTTAAACCAACTTCAAGTTAAAAAAAAACAAAACGTAAAGCCAGAAGTTAGTTTAAATCAAAAGGACTTCTTAAAGCACAAAATTATGTAGGTATAGAAAACATTTAGTAGGAACAAAGGTAATGTTACTCTGCCTGGCACGTAGCAACTTATTCGCCTCTTTGTGTCTCGCACTTAATATTAGTGAAATTATACGCATGCATGGAGGCAAAAAGAGATCCTCAAACTGCTGTTGACATTTTACTCTGAAAAAGGCTTATAAAAGTCTACTTAAGAAAGGAGATCACACTACAGAACGTAGGCCACAGACGTTGAACTTTTCATACAGACTTAGAGGTTTGCTCTGTACAATTTTGGAGGCAGTCATACGATTCCATCTCGACTAGTTACCGGCAACTGAATCAGTTGCTTGTTGTTTGACATGGCTCAACGTTAAGTCCACTACAAATTAATGGTTAAAATATGCTGCACAGGTCATGAGCTAACTACTTTGAATCAAGCCTTACCTCGCCTGACTGGGAGCCATCAGGGTTTGAAACAGGAAGTCCAGCTCCAGGAGGAAGGACTGCAGGGGTTAAATACTAAAAGAAAAACAATGCACTTCTGTTAATCTTTGATACTATGATGCTATTTCACATTTCTGCTATATTCATCCCATTGAAGCAAAACAATACATCAAGCCAGGTGAAACACTCAGTGTATGGCTACTTCCTATGTTATGTTCTCGGTCCCTTTGGTCACTTTTCATGGGCTTCCCACTCCCATTTTCACTTGCATTTCCCTTCTCTGGTTTTTAATTAAGATGTAGGCATTACATTTGCATGTAACAACATGCTTTGTACATACTGTGGCTATGAAACTACTGTTCAGAATAATGAGGGGGTTTTAATCAGAATTTTAAATTATAAATACAAGACATTCTTGCTAGCCCACCTCTGGTTCAACAGCTGCAGATGGATCTGTGTTGGTTTGATTTGCAGCTGGTGTGTGCTCTGCTGCACCACTCCCTTCCATTGGCTGGGGTTCCCCTGGAACTACAAAGGAAATGGGATTTAGCCAAACACACTGTACCAGGGTGTTTGATTTCACAGAATGAGAAGCAGGGACATCAGCAGAACTGAATTTCTACAATACCAATCTTCTCCCAGGAAAAAGGTAATTTAAAGAGGGCAGTGTCAATGTCTCTAGATGCCCCAGTCTTTTTACAAGTCTGCAAAAGCGGGAGATGCTTTTAAGCAAGTGTGCAGGGAAGACTTCCCCCTTTCTTTCTCCAAACAGTATTCCTGGAACTAGGAACGGGTATCAGAAGCGAGCACGAGATACTGAGCAACACAGGAATAGTCACAGTTCAAATTTTGCTATTTGGATGGCCTAGCCACTCTGCAGCGGGGGGGAAAAAAAGGGGAGAATAAAAAAAAAAAAAAAAAAAAAAAAAAAAAAAAAAAGGAGAATGCCTTTGTTTGCAGCACGCACAGCTGGGCTTTACTAAACCATTTGTTTTGCTGCAGTTCCCAGACTAATTCTACTTTTAAAACAAATGAGATTGAACATTCTTAAGTGTTCATTAAAGGCTACATAATACACACACTGGCAAATCTGACTTAGGCGACCATATAACCATAGATAAACACACAGCCTCCTTACAATTTCATCCACTCATGACACACCTGAGTTCGGAACAAACACATTTGCAGGAATTGGCATTGGTGCCAAGGGGGCGAATAGGTCTGATGGTGCAGGAACAGCACCACTTGACTTGGTTCCACCTGGATTCAAGACATCAACGTAACGGGCTCTGCTTCCAGCTAAAAGAGAAAAATCCAGAAAGAACAGAAATAAGCCTCGTGATAGTCAGCCCTCCATCTATTTCGAACAGCCTGCTGGTTAAGGCATCTTTCAGAATCAGAAAATAATGCTGCAGGAATACAAACAATACTACCCTAGTCACAGTACTGTTGTGACAGCGGTCACTGTGCAGAAACTAGACACAAGCAAAGCCAGCAACAGCCACAGCTCCGTGATATCACTGAGTTGCTAACTGTTCCCAAACAGCTCCAGAAAATCCAAGACTTCTACCTTCACATTTTACGCAAGAGAAAATCTGAAGTCTTCCATACTTCAAGCATCAATGTTGTCTGTTACCTGCTCTTCTGGAAAACATGTTGACAGGGGCACTAGGTGGGCCTCCAGGTCCAGGTGGAACACTCTGAGGAACTTTAGGAAATCCTGTTGGAGGTGGTGGCGGAGGCTTACTCTGCAGGGAGAAAAAAAAAATCCAACCACCTTATTGACTGAGAATTTTAAGCCAAGTATCCGCCTGACTTCTCCTTTTCTTTACCTATTCCTGAGCACATAAAATTGGGTATACACACATACATCTTGTAGTGCAGACCAGTATTCCTCATCTTCCATCCGAGAACTTAACTAATGCTAAGTGGCATTTCCACAGCCCATCTATACTCACTCTAAAAGGAAACATTAACAACAGTGATTCTTATCATTTGTTTGTGTTTTGAGACAGATCCTTGAATGACAAGGATGGACAGGGCGTGTGATTTTCCTTGCTTTGCAATGCATTACATTTTCAAAACTATAGACTCTTCCTACCTTTCTTCCCTATATTCTGTTTGCAGCAAATCAATTAACACGCAATTGCCTAGGTGGTGTCAACCTCCACGAAGAGTACACCAGACTAAGTTTAGAGTAAATTCAACTGCAACTAAAGATACAAATGGTTCCATAAGGATGTAACTATAAGAACATGTCATCTGTTTATTAGTTTGAAAAAAACGTTGCGCATTTTAATCCAAATTCAGTAAAAGGCAACTCTTAAGAGCCAATAATAAAGAAAATTGTATGCCAGTACAGATTTCAGTTTTCCACTTGAAGAAATAACGAGTCCTCAGATTTTTACCTCTTCTTCTGGTTCATCCAGATTAACCCAGCGCTGTTTCTGTTCATCCCAAACGATCTACAAGGAAATCACAGTCAAAGATTAGGAGTTCTAACGCAGCTCTTAAGCCCCCCCAAAAAAACCCAAACACCTGTAACATTTCTTTTTAAAAAGCCTGTCTTGGAATAAGCATAATCTTCAAAGTTTTACGCACTTTTGTTTACTTGTCAAAACAATGTTAATCTGTCATCCAGGAAAACATTTTAAATACAATAAAATGTATAAAGGTCTTTGCGATTTAGGGGCCCTACCGATTTGTTCTTGTCATCTGGAAGGTGAGCTTCATTCTTTCCTTTTCCCATCAGCCAGCGAAACCAGTTTGCACCAGTCTAAAAATAAGTTAATCTATTCAGTTAATTCTCTCAACACGGTCTTTACAGGCAGACTAAAAGAAACATTCATGCAACAATTCATTTGCTGTTAGGGACTTCAACTCTGAGCCCAGAGTTGCACCTAATAAATAGAAAGAAACAGTTCAGTCAGGGCGTTTTAAATCAGTACCCCGGACCAGGAGTTACCACACACACTAACAAATCTCCTCGAGTTATAGCTACCTTTCTTAGAAAGTT